AAAAATACCATACTACATGTCTTTATTAAAATAGGTAAACTCATGTAAACTTTAAAGCTGAGCTGTACAATATGGCAGCCACTAGACACATGTGGCTATATAAATTAATTAAAATCAAATAAAGGCAAAGTTCCAGTTTCTTAGTCATACGGGCACATTTCAATTGCTCAATGGCGACAGGTGGCTAGTAAGCACTGTATGGAATTGCACGGATCTAGAATATTTTTGTCATCGCAGAAATTTCTATTGGACAGCAGTACATTAAGGCCATATATTTAGAGAGACATTCTTCAAATATTTTGGAAATGATTGTGTATCAGGCTTTTGGTTCAAAATGATGGGATGAATCCATGCATATCCTCTTATCAAACCGTAGACCACACTAAAATTAAAGCAAAGAAATTCAAATATATGTAAGCTGATGACAGCAAAGCAAAGCAAAGGAAGATGAGGAGCACAATCAGGAGAGAAGTTTTGAGGAATTTATGAAAGAAACAAAATGTAGGGGAGTATGTCGATAGGAGGAAAATTCAAAGAAAACTGCACGTTAAGATGGGCTCTTGGAGAACCATAGAGGAGGCAAGGGCAGATTCTGTAATGGAGTGCCTGAGAGGCTCGGGGTGTAGTCTGCAAGTGGAAGAGGGCAAAGGGTGGAGAACGAAAGTAGTAGGATTAATAGAAAATCTGTTTGGGAAATTTTTCTACAAGCCAGCAATCCTTCCCCGCCCCACTGCTTTGGAAACAAGGGGCAACCTGGAGTTCACTGCTCGGTAAGGAAGCAGCATGATCCTTTCTAAAGAAATGAATGGATGTCTGGGATGACATGTGGGTGGGTGGCATTTCCAATATGACATGATGCTGTCCTCATTCTGACACTTGAGTACCTCACAGTCCAATTCCCTCTAGTTGACATTTCCTGCATTTTCTCACATGGAATTTCCACTCCAGGCAAAGAGTTGGCAGGAATGAAACTGATTTACAAAACAGCCCAGGAATCCTATTGCAGCTTCTCAATCCTTTTCTTCCTTAAATATAAATGGAAAATTTAGCATCACAAGTCATATCAGAAACAGCAAAACATAAAAGACCAAGACAAATCTATAGAAAAGCTGATCCCAAAAGAAAGAGATAAGAGAAAAAAACTTTTAAAAAGTC